AGTTCGTAGCTATGCAGGAAAAAAAAATTGACTCAATTTTATGCATTAGATCACAAGTTATAATTGGCAAAAATTACGCCAATTAGTATAACTAAAATCACGTGGTCCAATACTTTTGACCGGGGAGTGTACATTGTAGTGATCAGTGATGATAATAGTAATATTCTAACCGTTTTGAATCTAAACGACCCATACTTGAAGTAAAATTAGTTTCTGCTGGCAAATAGTAACCTGGTTGCATTATGGAGTAAACTCAAGAGAATAGTGGATTATGAAAGGTGACAGCAATCTAGAAAATGGCACATTACTTTATACTATTCATGAGGGTTGGCAAACTGCTATAGAACAAAATGACAAACATTTTTATATGCATATAACTGAAGTAAATGAAGTTAGTGAGTTACTGCCAGGATATAGGTGTCTTTCTGGTAGCAAATTTAGTGATATTGAAACAGCATCAAATTATGCTATAACAAGTTTATACTAACGAATTTTTTTTAATTCAAAAACAAAATTTTCTGGACCTCTTGTTCTAGGTTGGGATAATAATAAATTACTGGAAACGTGCTTTATTTATTCAAATGATTCCATCTGAAAATTATAAAATCTCAATATATCAAAACACAATGAGCCAATATTTTCGTTGGTTATACTCCAACAGAAACATAAAAAATGCAGGGGTTTACAAAAACTATTATGGTACATAACCGTTTGGTTTAAAATATCCAATGACACAAAAGGTTATTAATGCATAACAAATTCATACATGCTTACTTGCATTTTGGAATAATGAAACGTTTATGGATAAAATTTTTAATCATCATTTAAGAAAATGGATACTTACAGTATTAACTGGCAACAATTATTTCAAAATTTGCTTGCACAGAAAAGCACAATCATAGAATTATATGAAGCACACGAAAAAATATATCCACCAAATTATTTGTATGATAAAAGTGAGCTTTACGCATTAACGTGCAATGCTAAGAGCTACTGGATGTATAGAGATTATTCCATTTTTTAAAAATCAATCAAAGGTAATATTTATCAATAATTATAATAATTGATTATCGCTAAACCAAATTAAACCAAACATTTTATCAATTAGTATAAATTCAGGTCTCAAAATTCTAATCCATTGATAGATCAAAATATCTTAGAAAACTTTTAAATACTGTAGCAATAAATAATATTATAAATACTAAGAATTAAATAGGTAATATAGTTTTTAATACTTCTTCTAATTACTAAATTTTTTAAATATAGATTTGTGCTATTTCTATCATGTTCTTTTTTATCTTCAAATTTCTCATAAAAAAACCCAAAATATCAATATAATATATAAATTAGTTTATTATAGTTTGCTTTACCTAAAAAAAATCTAAAAATATAAATAATTTAATTATTTTTATAAAAATTATAAAAGTGGAGTTTTACAAAACAGTTTTCATTACCTCTTTCTAAATTTCCTATTCTTCCTAAAAGTTCTGGCTGTCAAGGGATATAAACACAGACACTAAGCAATAATCACTATTTATTATTATTTTATAATGTTACAATTAAATGCAAATTCTGACCAAAGTTATCATAATTTTGTTTGAAGATCGCTCTTAATAATTGCAATTAATCTCTTTAACAATCATTTGTCAGTTTATTACAGTACTAGTTTGTTAAGATGTCAATTTGTCAAGACATCAGTTTGGCTTAATTAATAATCTTTTATAAATACAAGCTGAAAATCCTAAAATAGCTTAATACTCATGCTCATCTTTAGCATATTTCTTTGAAAAACATTCCCTTCGCTATCTTCCCTTTACACCTTCATGATAATTTTCAATTTTCATTTTTTTAATTTTATAATTTCGCATTTTGTAACATATTTTATTATTTTATTAATAGTTTATTATACAAATTTTATGTAACAGTTTCATAATTGCATAGTTTTAAATAATTAGAACAAAGAATTTAGCATTTACTTAGTTTAATATATTAATTTAATGAAAGTGTAAAGTACTGACATTGAAGCAATACTGATCAATTTGATATTATTAAATAAATTTTGTTACAATTACTTCATTTTAATTTATACATTACTTAATTAATACCTTCTGCTTACAATACAAATTGTTTATAAATATATAATGAAAGAACTAAATATAACATATAGTGCTTTCTATCAAAATCCCTAAAAAACATTAAAATTATATATTTAACACTCATTTTGAAAAAAATAAAACACATAAATGCTTTCATCAAAAATTACATTAAAGAAATATTTCAACTTACCATCAAGAACCTTTCTGCAAAGATTGCTATTCTGTAGAAAACTTATTAACAAATCAATTCAGAAACCTTTAGAATTGGTATTTAATGAATATCTGATAAAAAGTTTTTTCAGAATTATTTGGTGTCTCTTTGAGGAACTTTTAAATATTCAGAAAGAAGAGAAAACCTGAAAAATAATTATTAACTTAATATTTAGTATAAGTTATAAGCAAACTCTAAAAGAATTATTTACAACAATATAATAAATGATATATAATACCTTTATTCTTGTTAATGAGATTGTTGAAAAACCTTTTGATCATCCCTATTGTAACTAAAATATTGTTGCATTAGTATTATCTGACAAGAGAAATATATTAAATCCTGTTGATTTAGTTAACACTAACAATCAGAACAATTTATTTTTCAGCAATGAACTGATAAATTTAATAGAGCTATTTTAAGAAGAAAATATAATGGCAACCCAAGCAGTAAATCTACAAAATTTGACTGCAGCATTGTAAGCATTGCAAGGAACTTTAGCAACCTTTAGGATAACTAAATATTAATAATGCTCTTGTGAACTTATAGGTCTAAATACAAGCTAATACAAATGTATTAGTAAATCCTCTGATAAGAAAAGTAAAGATCGTAGATATCCAAATTTATTATAAAAGTAATTAAGATCTAATAGAATAGTTGAAAGAATTTACTAGAACCTATAATGCAAATGGAATTGCTGATCCAAAAAAAATTAGAAGTCATTCTAGCTTACCTGAAAGGATCAATATTGACATAGTGGACAGTTAATCAAGCCCAAGCAGGAGGATATGCAAACTGAATTGTTATCTAAACAGAAAATAGAAACAATATTGATTTTGTTTCAGTCTCAAATACTGGTTAAGATTTGGATTATAAAGATGAAGCGAAGACATTAATAGCCTAATAAATCTATTAACACCTATACATATATTTTTCAGAAAATATATCGAAAGATTAAAACTCCAGATTTTATTTATCCAACTCCAATGAAAGCAAAAGGACTATCAATGGTCTCCTATCTGAATTATATTTAATGGTGAAATATACAATAATCAAATCTAAGATGCTGTGTTTAATAGAGCTGTTGGCTTGGTATCTGTAAACTTAAATGATAAACTTTTAATTCAATCTGTCAAATTAAATACAAAATAATATCACAATCACGCCTATATGAAGATATGACAAAAGGCAATAATAAATGAATTTAACAATTCCTTTATTGAACTCTTGATTTATCTGAAAACCTTAACTTGAGTTATTTTTTGATTCAAGGGAAAATACAAGATATTTGTATAAAATAAAATAATATAAAATTAACTATAACAAATATAATAAAGAGAACAAATAATATAACTATGATAAATATAATATATATAATAAATAAAATATAATTAATAAATATAATAAATAAAATATAATTAATAAATATAATAAATATAATCCATTTATCTAATATGTTCATTTGATCAACATTTACAACTTTAGTAACTCTATCAACTTTGTCAACTTTGTCAACTATATCAATTATTTAGATCACATGACTTTATTTTAGCATAGTCACAGATCATAGCTTCAATCTTCCTCTTCTAAATTTTAAGCTTCTGCCTAAATATCCATAGCTTCGTTAAATAGAGACCAGTATACATGGCTTGGGAATTGATAAAGATTCTTCAACGATATATATTTCACTTGTTGAATTTGATCTACAACTAGTATTTCATAAAAATAGTAAACACGTATTGAGACAGAACTATAATATTTAATGACAATTCCTTTTAATTGACTTCGTTATACTGGTGAAGAAGTTTCTGTTTCTAGAAGTTTTCCTAAGTAATAAGCATTTATCAAGGTAAGAGTTCGGTCTTTTATTCGTGAAGCTCTTAATAACATTTGATATATCAGTTGAAATTTCTTTTAAAAATCCATTCCATTTAAATATGGAGAAATAGCAGGAGTTATTTCTTCAGGTAAAGTTTCGTTTAAATCTTCAATATAAAGTTATTTCATAATAATAATGAATAAAATTAAAATTAAAATAAATAAAAGAAAAATCTAAATCTAAAAAGGAGGGTCTTTATATATTTTAAAAGATCTCTATTTACTGGACTACAAAATATACGATCATCTAATTTTCTTATCTTGTAAGAGCCATTTAGTAAAATTTGATGAATATAATAGAGGCCTTTCCAATTTTGATCCAATTTTCTAGAATGAGTTTTATCTTTTGCAGCTTCAAAGTACAAAACCTTATCTCCAATTTCATGTGAAACAGAGATCCTTATGTTTTTATCATGGTACTTCTTTTATTGCTATTGTATTCGTATCTTTGCATCTAGTCGCACTAGATAATTTATTGATCAAATGATCAATTCTTTCCTAAATAGTAAAATTTTGGTTGGTACAAAGGTCATTAGAATCATCAGGATTATCAATAGATAATGTTACATTTCGTTTATAAACTAAATAAAAGGATTCAATTTTTGTGGCTGATTGTTTGCTTGTGCAATAAGCAAATAGAACAGAAGCAATATATTGATCCCATTGAGTAGATCTTTCAGCCAATTTTGCTAATGATTCACATAAAATCCTATTGAATCTTTTTACCAATCCATTCATTCTAGGGTGATAAGAAGTAGATAGATTATGATGAATGTGAAATTGTTTCATCAATTCTGTAACTAATTGATTATTAAAATGAGATTCCCTATCTGATAAGATCTTAGTTGGACATCTATATCAGCAAATAATATCCTCATATAAGAACTTGACAATACTTTTAGTAGTGTTATCCTTAACTGCTTTAGCTTCTGGCCATTTTGTTAAATAATCTATAGCAACAATGATACATTTATTTTCTCTACTAGTTTGTGATAAAGGTTCAACAAAATCTATTCCAATTCTATAAAGTGGTGAATCAACTGGAATAGGATGTAATTTATTTTTTGTTTTAGATCTTCCTCGTTGTTGGCAAGTATCATATGATTGAACATATTTTCTGATACTTTTATACATTTGAAACTAATAATATCTAGTACAAACTTTATTAAACATGATGTCAATAGAAAAATGTCTAGCTGTTAGATCATTATGTATCATGTAAAGTATTGCATCTAGTTCAGTTTCTTTTATGACCCTTAAAAACTGTTTAGAAGCATTTTTTTGTCTTTGCTTTTTATATAA